ACTGGGATTACTATGGGTTATATTATATATATTGGCGGCGTTGCAAGGTTGCACATCTGGGCTGCCTTTGTACTTCAGCAGGACATCGTCTTCTCTGACCTTCACTTGCAAGGTTACAAAGCACTGGGATCACAAATCTGCTGGAGTGTGATTTCCAGTGGTAAGGCAACAACCAGGATATGATCATCCCCACTGCATTCAATGGTCTCGGATGCCCCATACCTCAGAGACAAGCGCTTTTTTGCGATAGAGTCCTTGAGCTGCACAGCACTGGCGCCCTTGGATCATGAAATGCTGAGGCTTTGAGGCTTCAGCTTGCTGTACAAGACCTGAGGCCGGGAGATATTTGCACTGCTCCTGTACACCATATTATACGGGTACACCTTATTGATATTGCATTCTCGCCTCCCTGCCTTTCCTTGCCACTTATCCCAGCAACAAGTGGCACCTTCTCGCCGACTTCAACCGTCATGGGCACCATCACGCCCGTCTCTGCAATGGCCTGCACGCGCTGCGAAAGCATAGCAGAGAGACAGCGCACCTGACCCTCTGTCTGCGCCTCCCCGGGGCCCACCGCCACCACCTCGCCCTCCTGGTACAGCTTATGCGCACTGCTTCCAGAACAATACGTGACCTGACTTTGCCGTACCTCCTTGCCTGGTAAACTCGTGTGCTATAGAATGATGGCATCAACTTGAGTAGTTACACTGAGCCCCGCATAGACTGTCCAAATCTCCATGATTCCAGGCACACACCCCGCATTCGTGAACGGTCCTTGGGCTTTTCGCTCTTGGGCAGCAGCAGGCCCCCCTGCTAGACTTGGCAAAGCCATGGAAAGCTGCTGATCAAGCTCCCTCGTCCAACAAATGTGGGTCTCCAATGCGAAGTTAAAGATGATAATCGGCTTGCCTTTGTCATCTCCTCTGGCTGAGCAGACTTCAACAACACGAACTTGCCCAATGGCTCCACCGTGCCATCAACCTCGCAGCTTTACGTGCAACTCGCAATTTTGGCAGGAACATGCTGCCACAGGATGGCATGAGCCTGAGAAATGCAGCTGCTGAGTCAGCTTGAACCTGCTTGACCCGGCAAGCCTTGAGGGACGCTGCACGGCGGCAGATGTGTGCACCTGGCCACCATTGCGAGTTGAAAATGCTGGGGTGCCAGAAAGAAAGGCTTCTGTATTCGCAGACACATCTCACCATGCCCAGCTTGCTGCTACCCTGCCTACGTGGCCTCTGGACGTTCCAGTCCGGCCTCACCGCGCAAGAAAAAGTTCTTTCACCCGGGCGAGGAGCTCAAGGCGGGGTTGCAGCATGATGCAGCGCACGCAAAAGTTTGCGCGAAGGTCTGGATGAAAACGCATTGCCCCGGCGCCTGCCGCTGGGCTACCAATGAATGTTAGTGATCGAAGCACGAGGCCTAGGCAGCGCGGAGTGTAAACATTGTATACACATGCATACACGCATGGCTTTAAAGTTGCAGGAGCAGAAGTGTGTTCCTTCGTAGCTAGAACTGCAACTGCCTACCAGGAAAAAGCAGCTTTCCTGGATAGCCGGTCAATGCAGCCGAGGAGATCACCACTGAGGAGCAAAACCGCAAGCAGCCTGCCAACGGATAATGCGCAGATATGATGAGGAAGGAGCACAACCCATGCAGCACTGCTCGAATAGATAAATGCTCAAAGGAGTTATGAAGAGCGCAATGGCAAAAGCCTGCGCACAAACAGCCGTCTGTTTTGGAAATGGATCTCTGCAAAGCCCGCCGGTCATCCTTCGCATGGCCTCCTCTCCGAGCGAGCCGAACCAGCTGGCATGGCGTCGGGTGTCTGAACACCAGAGTTCTTTGGTGTGGGCTTCAAAGGGCTTTGTAGAATGTGAGTCCAGCCGGTGGAGTCAGCGTTTGTGGATTGTGGGGGGTTATCTTGATTCCTTGCCAGTCAAGCTTTGTGAGGCTGCATGCGAGTGCACTCACACCTGGCTACGGAACAGCGGCGAAAACATCACAACAGACATGCAGGTCGATGCTTGTAGTTTGCAGTAGACTCCTTTATGTGGATGCGTCACCTTTGGCGAGGGATCCAAGCCAGTCGCCCAGCGGCTCTAAACCTTTTTGGGCATGGCATTCATGATTCCTCATTACGGTGAGGTACGTACAATGAGGCAGGCTCATGCGTTCAAGAAAGGAAGGGCCTCTGGGAAGGATCTGGCTCTGCAATACTGGATCTGAGCTCCGTGGCTTCCCATTCTGGGTGGAACCAACGATTTCCAGACCAAAAGCTATCTGCTAATCTGCAGAGACCGAATCTAATTATTGGCAATCAAGGGCGCAGAGTCTTCACGGTCAGAGTCAGCCTAGCTCCCTTCGCCAGTCTCCAGGGTGTCTCTCTGACCGAGATGGGCCTGGAAGCCCTCAGCCCGACAGGACAGAGTACAGCACGGACACCCTGCACACGGATCCCAAAACTTCAAGCGCTCCTGCTCAAGCTACAAGAAACTGCCGAGATTCCTCCACTCTGTAAGCATTCCAGAACTTGGCATGTTCATCGTCCCGACATGGATATGGCAGTTCGCCCTCGGAGATTTCCAGCAAGGATGAAGTCCACTTCACCTGCCGCGGCTGCTGCGGTTCAGCTTGAGTGACCCCAATCGCTCTCTGGTTCCAGCTTATTCCGTTTTTCTAGAAAATGTGTCTGAATGGACTTGGGCCTTTGCAAGTTATTCATGATTCAATTCCTTTGAGTAGAATCCTCGTCAGGCTGAGCATTTTGATCGCCTTTTGGGGCGTGTTTTCCAATGAGGAAACTAGAACCTGCAGAACGTCCCCAAGCTTTGAGCAAGTGAAGCAGTGGGCAAGGAGGGAGCGGCTTGACGGCAACGCTTGCGGCATTTGACGCCAGCTTTGCCAGTTCTGGAAAAGCTATGAATGCTCTCCTTGCAGATGTGGAGGTTCCCTAAGTCAGGGGTGACATTCTGGGGACCCCATAATAATTATTGTGGTATTTTGGGATCTATACTGAAGTCCCCCTGTTATGGGAAACTACCATGTGCGTGTTAAGCAGCAGCAGGGCGACCCTGAAGCCCCCTGCTTTTGATGGGCTTACACGACTCCCAACGGTGGTTACCACAACTCGTTCAAAGTAATGACCCCACAGGCATTTAGGGCGCAATGGTCCTCAGAGTGTCACAACGTGACATTCATATCTGTCTGAAGCTAGTGTGTATTATAGTTTGTATTATAGGTATATAGGATACATTATCAAATAATATAGTATATTAGAGTATATATTAAAGCATAAATTGTACGTATGAATTATACATACACCAGAAACCGCAATCTTTTGCTTTACAACCGAACCTGGTCCACTGCAAGATACCTTGCAACCATGGAAATACGATGAAGTGTAATATATTCTAGTATATTCTAATACATTCTATTATATCATCGTGTATTATAGTATCTTATAGTTTATTATAGTATATCAGAGGATATTATAGCACATTATGTGGATAATGGAGAAGAAAATGGAAACCAACACACTGGAATAGGGTATATATAGGCATTATATAGGGGTTATATGAGCCATGGTCTACACTCCTAGTGTCCCCTTGAGTAACTGTTATAATGCCCCCCCCAGATAAACCGCCCTTTAAGGAGTTTAGATTATAGCTCAAATAGTGGAGTCAAATCGAGCCGCAACCCCGCAGCACAGCAACGAGAGTAAACCCAACCCCTTAACCCCTTAAGAATAGTTTCTAATTTCTATTCCATTATCCCTATATAAGCACTATATATATATTCCCTATTATAACCCGAATGTATTCCCAGTGCCTTGTATATCTTCTTGAGCTTTGGCTTAGGCCTTTCGAGCATGAGCCGCAAAGCCTCCTGCGCGCTTCTTACACTTGCTTTGGGATTCTACCAAAGGGGGCGGATTTGCCAAAATTAGGGCTACCTTTTTGGGGTGTTATAAGGGTGATAGAGGGGGCTATAGGGTTTAGGGTTTCCCAAAACTAGGGGTGCCTTTTTAGGGTCCCCAGAATAAGGAAAACATGTAGTAGGGCTAGCATATTGGAGCTCCCTAATGACGTAACCACCTAAGAGTTCTCGTTCGAAGCTCTCAACCTCAGCCCTACCCTGAACCGGGTTGCTGTCAAGGAAACCTAAGTTAAGCTACCATAACACACATATGTAGTAACTAATATGGTTTCCCCAAAATAGAGTAACTTGAAGCAAGTTCCTAACAGCAACCCAGTAAAGTGATCAGCCAGCATTGGCCAGTCCTGGGCATGATCCAGAGGTTGCCAAAGCTTTTCCTGCCATGTGGGGGACAGAATTCCATGCTTTTGGGTACCAAAAGCGCCAACAACAACTATTGAGTTTGGGGTTTGGGGAGTAAGGGTTCCAGTTATCCTGTTCCGCATGTTTTCTCCATAAAGAGCTTCAGAATAGAATGATCAGCGGCAGGCGCAAGAACGTGAGGCACTCATACGACGGCAGCTGCCTTCCGGTCAAGGAACCTGAAGACCCCAATCTTGAAAGTCACCCGTAGCCCGGAACCGCTCTAATCAATATTGGCCTATTAGCATCCTGTAAACAGCCAGCAGCAACAGAGAAAGAAGCCTTGATAAGCTGCTGCAGCACGTCAATCGCCTCTGGCGGGCTCTGTACACCAGAATTCCAACCCTTGCTCGACAGGCATCCAAACAGTGGAGAATAAACCCTGAAGCTGTCGCTTCGAGGCTTGCTTTGAAGAAGCCTCCTGGTGTTGCTGCCAGACACCGAGAGCATACAGAAAACCTGAGGCCGTCTCGAGTCAATGCCGAATTCGTTGTCTAATAATAAGAGTACTAATGGCAATAAAAAGAACAGTAGTAACAATAGTCATAATGTTCATGGCACGCCACCGATGCAGATTTGCTTCCTCTCCGAGAGCTCTCGACGCTGTGCAGCTGCCACAACTGCTGCCAAGATCTCTGCGGAGGGCACCTATTACGGGCAGCCGTGAGTAAAGCAGAAGAGTTCCATTATGGTGGCCACCATGGCATCCATCGTCGCCAACAGGCCAAGCTGTCAGCGTGGTAGAGATGCCCAATGCTACCACTTTAACGTGTACGCACAACATTACCAATTGGCCAGTTGGACGCGCCTCCGGTGCATGTTTCGGCTCATCCTCTAGTAGCTTCAAACACCTCAAGATGACCAGCTTCAGTGCATGTGCCGATACAAGACAAGTCGCTGCCACCAACAAGGATTAGGAGAGACTTCTGTCGCACATGCTTCTCAACCATCCCGACCTCTGCCATTTCGCACCTTTAAGCTCGGGCCTTTGGGGAGCCCTTAGCTTGTCCTTGGCCCACAAAGTCCCTCTGTCTGCATTGTAGCCACGCATCTGCACTGGTCCACATGGGCATGTGATGTACCTTCAAAAGCAGCTTTCCGGCCACGGCTTGGATGTAAGGATCCTGCGCAATCAACAGCAAGACGTATGCATCACAAGGAGGCATGAGGTGCCTGGTGGTCCAAAGCCCGAGCGGCGATGGCCCCGACATCTCCAGGAGGCAAGGCTTCCATCGCGGCTTCAGCTACCTGTCCACGGCTTCAGAATCAAACACGTGGGCAGGGGTCAAAATCATGCCTCAGGATCACCATGCACGCTCAGCTTCATGAGGTCCTCCAGAGCACTGGAGCCAGCCTGCGCCAGCCAAGCTAAACCCAGAACCCTACAGCATCCTACAGGAGTGTTTTTCCTGAAGCCAAACCCGCACCTTTACTCTAACCCACGGCTACTCCTCAGGTTCCTGCGTAGTGCAGGCCTCCCCAAACTAACTAGCAGGAACTCCCATATTGAGTCTCCTTTTGAAAGGACTGTCGACTTAGGACAGCTTCAAGCAGTCCACATCTTTGAGGCCGAGCGTCTGCGCACATCAAGGCTCCAGGGACGCTGCTCTGCACCCAGACGTCTGCGTGCGAAAGACATGATCTGAGGGTGGAGATGACCTCTTCGTTGCCTTTGCCCACCTGCGCGCTGCTGCATCTCTAGGCTCCAACAGTCAGCTTTCGACCAAAAAAAAGAAGTGTTCGTCTCTCTTTACGAGTCGCTTTTTGGATGTGTTGTAAGCAGCAGAGACTGCTTTATTCTGTTAGTATACAAGGGGCCCGAATTCTGAGAAGTTGCCACATCAGAGCACCTAGAACGTCAAAGCATCAGTTTGCGATGCCTGTCCCTGCCTTGCCAAGTGCCGTGACCGCAGCCTGTGTCATTGCAACTGACCCAGATTGTATGCACTTGGTGAGCTCGGCGATGACTGCTTGATCTCCCGACTCTCCCGATGCTGTTTCGCCAAGCCTCGGATTCTTTAGGCTGCACATGGCTGCACTGCACGCCTGATGCTGGGTAAGACTTCCAAAATCTCAGCTCCGCAGCTGATTTCGTTGTAGTCGAGGTCTCCCTCCATGCGCTCATGCGCTTGCCCTCACACATTAATTGCACGATCAAGGCCAAGGAGCACGGTCACAGCGGCGATCCTCACCTCTTCCCACGGATGCTGCAACAGGGGCCACGCCTTGTCCTCGCACACGTGCAAAATCATTCGAGCAGGATCTACATTTGCCCGAGTTTACCATGGCAACCCCTCTTCACCATTTGGCTTTCATGCTGGTGACACCCTTGCCTACTCCTCCAGTGTGCCGAGTGTCCACTATGGTCTTGGCGTCATTTGCACAGGCAGCCAGCAACTCGATGGCTGCCCGCCGCACAAAAGCAGGATTTGGCGAAGGCGCCAACCAACGGCCTTGCAACGGACTGGAGAGCAAGGAAGCGCGCACTCTTCGCAGCCAGAGGCCTTGTAGACGACAGGCGGGATCCTTCTGCCCCGCATGTGAGAGGAAGGAGGTCAGCCTCAGTCTTCTGGCGGCCGCATTGGGCCAGTGCGAAGATTCAATGTGCCGAGTTGCTCATCCAAGGTCCTCTCCGAAAAAGACAGCCTGCGAGATGCAACATCTGGCACCGTTCAATACTGTGACACGTGATGGCTTTGGGAAGCCATGCAGCTGGACCGTCAAGAACCAAGAGCTGCAAGAAGCTGTTCAACATAAAACTATGCGAAAGTGATGAGGAAGGCTGCATCTAAATGCTGGCTCCAACAACCCAAAAAGTCTGTATGTATGCAACTGCGAGTGGCCACTACGAGCCATGGTTGCACCGCGTTGCAATGGTAAACTGCCAAGCAGGTCACCCAGAATCAAGTCAGATTCTTCCAGCCTCGTCTCACCGTGGCTGCACATGTGCTTTGCTACTGCCGGGACAGTCTTCTTCCAGTCAAGGTGAGGGTCCCCGACCTTTGTCGACAATTGAAGGACAGCCACTCAAACAATGGTTGTAGCATCACTCCAGCAGAGGACATGTTCCGCACATGTGCGACGTTCTCCACTTTGCGCGGCGTGCTGCTCAGAACTTAGAAGCTTACGAATTTCTCTGATTCTTCTGACCACCCATGGTCACTTGACAGATTTATTGAACGACAACTACCAGCACGAAGGACCACCGGGCTTAGCTCAGGCAGCTCACCAACCAAAAGCGGCCCATCGATATAGGAGCCATGAGCACCTCAAACAGACTTTGGTGTGGTCTCCTAGCTGACCTCATGGAAGCACGTTGCGCATAGCTGGCCAAGGCTCTAAGCTGTCCCAGGCACACCGCAGAACTTCACGAAGTGACGGATAAGCTTGTGGGATGTGCTGCAACAGTCCCAGCCCACATGCCCCAGAGCTGACAAGGCGATCCTCGTCGCCAAGATACGCCGATGAATCCTGTCGCTGTACCTTCAGGCCCCACGGTAGTGCCACCCCACTTAGAACAAGCTCTCCCTGAATCAGAATTGTGACGAGGAGCTTGAGGTTCAAAACTTGATCCAAGACCGCCAGGGCTTCCTCATCACCAGGAGCACACAAGAGCCCAAAGATCTCCAGGGTGGGCAGAACCTGTGGTCGGGCACTGCTGCAGCTTGTTCCTCTGTCTCAACCGTTAGCAGTTAGCAGCTGCGTATGCGATATCAACTCTAACTTTCATCAAAACGGTCTTCTCTGCGCTGCAGGATGTCTCCGATTTCAGAAGCACAGCCCACCCTGCTTCAACATGCATCAAGATCCTGACAGCAGAGGTTCACGAATGTTCTCTTTCGCTGTTGAACAAGGCATCTGGTAACCTGGTATGTTCACAGGCCTTTCTGGGACACAGGGAGCATGCTAATGATGGGCGAATGCCTTTTGTACTCAGATGCCGAGGAGCTTGCCAGGTAGCGTCCTGAAACAGGCTTGTTCAGCAAAGTTTTGTTCCGCGCGGCCTTTAAACTAGGATGGACGTTGTTGAGTAGGAGTGTCTCAAAACCAGTCCTATTCGATCCTTTAGCAGAACCGATATCACCTCCAAGGTACTTAAGCTACCCCTAGGCTGAGATGTTGAGGCCCCTAATGTTGAGAACTCATTTAAAATGGGGGTGGCAATCGTACTTTCTAGCCGGGCCCGAAAAACCCCGGAAAATAGCGTTTGCTTTCTAACAAGTTCGGAGGCCGGAAAGGCCTAAACAAGGTCCATCGGCAATAATCAGGGGGTGGCAATAATTTTATTGTCCGGCCGAAAAAGCCCGATCTTAATAGATTCCCTTCTACTTGTACTACCTGGTCCTACCCCAGATCCTCGGTTTATTATTGGCAACCAAAAACGCGAAACAAGGTCTGGGGGAGGGGGGTATTCTTTATTGGCATTGCAGCATGAAACCCTAAACTCTAAATCCAAAACCCTAAACCCCTGAACCCCAATCCAAAACCCGAAACTCCTAAACCCCGCATCCTAAAACCTAAGCCCTAAATCCAAAACCCGAAAACCCGAATCCCCAAAACCGCTCCTGGCCATCCTTCCGACTGATGAGCTCTTCAAGTTGCTTCTTCAACTTTTGGCGCAAGAGCGTCTTGTCCGTCTGGGCCGCAAGAAGCCCATCAATGGCCTTGAAAGCTCAGAGGGTTTTCCTTAGTGCATTAAGGGAATATATTGTAAAGGGCTTATATTCCCTGATTAACTACTAAGCACCAGTAAGTTTAAAGCTCAGTGGTGGCTGTGCTGTATCTCATCTCCTGTTCTTCTCACAAGCAGCTACTCTCCTTTGGTTGCTAATACACTATAGTACATTATGTAGTATAATGTTATATATCATTGTATATAATAGTATAATACAATCATGAAAATCACATCAAACGGCTTCAAACCGAGCAGCTGCTGACTCTGCAGCCCCGTGCACAACCGCTCAAGTTCAAGCTGCAAGCTGCAAACGGAGTAGGCGAAATTCAAGTGCTACTCAAGCGGCGATCAACATGTTCAGAAATTTTTGGTTCACTGCGGCTTGCGAAACTTAGCGCTCAGCTTGAGGTGGCACTCTTCATTAGAGGGTTCAAGGCGCTTGCAGAGTTCTCCGAGGCCCCAATATTCGATCATCAAAGCTTTTGGTGCTTACGGTGAAAACAGGTGGACTTGCTTCTGTTTCCACAGCTTACGAACCCCAGGTCTTTGCATACGCCATTTTCTTTTCTGCCACTGACTGGCCATCCTTTCTGCTTTTGAGCAATATCTCTGTTCACTTATTCCTCGGACCATATCCCATTATCCTATTAACTTGCTTCAAGTCAAGATTTTCGCAGCCTCATCCTATGCTAAGGTCAGTCGAGTAACAATCTCGCGAACTTCACGGGAGGGGCTCGTGAGGCACCTTGCAAGCAAGTAAACATGCCAGTAGTCATTTGCGTCAGGCACCCGCTGAAGTTATGACTTTTGTTGTTTGTCCACTTCTCCCTGGTTCCCGAGCGCAAGCCAAGATAACCAAGCCGGGCGGAGCCTGATTAGTGCGTCTGCGGCTTCTTCCTGACCCGTCTGCGCAAAGCCGCTAAGGGCTTTGGCAGCCTCATGACGGAGACAGATGAAAGCGTCACAGAATATCTCGCTTTTTGAAGAACAACCAAGTCCGAAAACAAAAATGGCTGCTGAAAGAGAGCAGAGCAGGGCAGCCTGCACCCTGGCGGGCGAGAGCCGCTTCCACTGTTGGCGGGTGTTGCTGAAGAGGCCCCAGCGAGTGCAGCGATACAATGCTGCCAGCACCTGCACCAAGCCAAATCATTTCTGCTTGCAAGTGCACAATGCAAAGGGACTTCGGGGCCACGCAAGGCCCATCATGTGACAGCTGGGGAAGGTTCCGGCAAAAACATCAGACAATATCCGACGCATGACTGTTCAGCAGGCCGCCTGCTCATCGCCTGTCGCTAGGGTCTGTGCTGCTTTGATCGCATGAACCTCAGACAATGAAGAGATAGGAAGAGCCCTGCGAGATTGATCACAGCCCTGAAAGCGAGCTGCACCACACTTAGCCACAGCTCCAGCTCTTGATGATTTCCTAGATGTTAGATTGAATAGGAGATAGCTGGAGGTCAGATCTCTTGGTCCAGCATGCGGTCAGGTGTCGATAAGATCAGGGCTGGCCAGTCCGAAGGTCGCCAAGATGTTCTGCGATGTCAGTAAAAGCGTAACCTCCAGCTGTGCTTTGCTCCCCGCTTGCGGCACCTCACACAGCTTCTGTAGCACCTCCGTATCCTCCAACTCTCGGCTCTGCCACATGAGCTTCTGGCAGATGGGATGGAATTGGGGCTCGCTTGGCGTGCCCTGATCAGCAATGGCACGCTTCAAGTCTCGCACCAGAGAGTCCGACTGCAGTGTCAAATTTAGGACGTCGCCAGACAGCTTTGCACACGCCACTTCCACAACAAACTCATCCGCCATGGGATCGCTGAGCTAGGTCAATGGGATAAAGCTCTGAGGCAGACCCTGCATGGCATGTGATCTGTGTAAGTCATAAGCTTCAAGTGACCACGTTGGCCCGTCATCCGCCTTACGGTATCCGCAGAATTAGCAGCAGCGAAAGCATGAGATTTTTCCAGCGAGCCGGACTTGAGCGAAGCTGCTCCAGCTTAGAGCCCTTCTGCGTCAGCGCATTGTGGATTCTCGCGGGTTTTCACAGAAAGTATCTGCCAGTGTTGCTGCTGCAAGTGCAAAGACGTTCTGAGAAGCCACTGCTGCTTCATTAGCTTGCTAGTGCCGGTTGTCGCGTTGCAAGTGGCAACGAAGAGCCCACTTGAGCATATGTTGCGCAAGCTGACCTGCAAGGGGATATGTTTGGCCCGGATCTTCACTTGAAGGAGGGTTTGTCGCAAGACAAGTTTGGTTTGAGTAAATGTTATGATATGCTTGTGTTTGTCAATACAGAAGGTTGATGAGATTGCCACGTGACTGGTGATCTCAGTTGCTTTGCAACAGCAGTCTCAGCACCGTATGTACAGAGCAACCACCCTGCTCACATTCAGTTGCCAGGGATGGTTCAGTTCAGTCGTCTTCAAACCCCTCCTTCAAATCAGAGGAAGTATCAGGTCTCAGCCATACACCTGGGTTGAGGCCCTGCGTCCTCGTTGTCTTCTCGTTTCTTCTTCTTGCGCTGCGGCAGGATCAACTCCTGGCAGACACACTGCCACTCTTCCTAAACACGACTCCAGATTATCAACAAGACTATGTCGATCAAGACAGCAGTCCAGCCGGCCAGAGACACGCAAGCAAGGTTTAGAGGCATGTGTAGATAATTGACTTGCGACACTCCGCATGCCGACCATCAGCTATGCAGGGTCCTGATTGTCTGCCATGTAGTCCTGCAAGATGCGCTCTTAACCCAGGCCCCTTCGACAGCATGCAGGATTACCCCGGAGCTCACTGCGGGATAAGGCAGGTAGCACTTTTTGCCCGTGTGCCAACTCACCATGCAAACTAAGATGCCTGACCATTGCATGGGAAACCCTTGCATTGCGTTCTGGGATGTAGAACATCTAACCACAATGCTGCACAACAAGAACTATGCGCGCTATCTGTAGCAAATGAAGATGGTGCTTGATTCTGGCAT